CTATTAAGCTATTTTTTTACATCAATAAATAGAAAGGTATAGCCAGCTTTCTTGAAAGCATCCCATATTTCCTTAATATTTTGATAAAAATCTTTAAGATAATAATATAACTTCTGTAAAGCAAGATATTGGTCTAAATTATAAGTTTTCTAAGGATTAATAAAAATTATAGACTTTTGTTTTGTAATCTTCTTATCTAAATCATGAGCTTTCTATAGGTTAATATAAATTATAGATGAATCAGATATTGAAACTTTGTTTTTTGTTCTATTTTTTTTGAGTATTAATAATCTGTAAAAAATAATCATGGAAAAATTTCATTAAGCTAATTAAGAATTACATAAGGAACTTGAGTAATTGATACAATTAAATAGGATTATAAATACAAAAATTATAATCTCAAAAGACAAATAATAATATGTGAGAAAAGAATCCGATATTTAGAAGAGAAACTTGAAAGTGTTATATTATTTTCTAATCAAAAGAAGAATGAATTATAGAAAAAAATCTTTGACTTAAAAAAATCTTTATATCAAGCTAAAAAAGAAATTCAGCAAAAAGAAAAGGATTTTATTACTAGAGAAAATCAATTAGATGAATTTGATATCTAAGAAAAAAAACTTAAGAATAGAATCAAAAAGCTTATATCTTTAGGAAAAAATTTACCACAAATTTATAATTAGTTAATAGAAATAATAAAGAGGATAGGTAATTTTTAAAAAGAAAATAATAAATTAAAGCAATATTTGACAGAATGAAATAATCAAATAGCTCATCAAAAAAAATATATTACTGATCTATATTGTCAAAATTCCAATATAAGACTATTACATTATTATGATAGATATAAACTTCAGAATATATGGAATGCTTTACAAACTGCTGATAATATAAATTAAAATTTATATGATATGCTAGAGGTTTCTATTATAAAAAGAAGTTTTATGTCTGGTTTATCAATAAATAATTCTTATTTATGAATACTGAAGTTAGGTTTTGAAGAAGCATCACAGTCAAGAGAAAAACAAAATCATTTATATGATGAATTAATGACAATAATATAATACAAAGCTCAAGTAAGGAATCACAAAATTTATTAAATAAAGATATAAATTTCTTGGATAGTAATATATCAACTGATGATAGATTAATATCAAATATGACTACTATTATAGAGTTAACAAATGCTATAGATGATTTTTTAAATAATAAAGCAACAGTTAAAGATATTTTGATAGA